TGCTTCGCGACTTACTGACAACTGGGAAAACATCACATGTCTGCTATGGACAATACATTTGATACCGCGACCACGAATTGTCATTGAAGTCGGCTTTCGACAAAAGGCCCCATTGTCTGCATGAAATAATCCGACTGCTCTCCAGCGGAAGATTTGGGGTGGACGAGTAGCGATGATAGTTATATAATTCAGAACTGAGGATGTGATGGCGCGTTTGAACGGTAGATCATGTTGTTACGCATGAACTTTTTCAACATTTGCGGGCAAGTAAAGTCACAGCACGCTGTTTGAGACACACAGAGGTTTCTTAACCATTCACAGGGTGGTTATCGCTTCGTATTTACCACCGTATCAGGGCTAAAATCTTAGTGTTATTCCCGGTAGGTGAGTGATAACCTTCGATCACCCTTTACAGGAAGATCGACCAGTTTGATCTACCATTTGTCAGGGGTAGCCAGGGCCGCCGACCATCCACCATCCGGAAAAACCCTGTCATTAACCATCGCCTCATGAGCTGTCCTTCTCATTACCCTCCAGTTACTCATTCATAACTACCATTGCCCTCCATATTTGTCTCCTTTTACCTCATGACCCTTTTTTTGTCCTCGCCGAACTGCCCATTCGTTATACGTTTGCGATAAAATAGATGCTTAATTTTTTAGAACATTTGGGCATTTATTCGTAGTTGAACTGCGATGATTTTGCAGGCGGCTGCTGTTGCGCGGTTGTCCCACGCCTTCCGGCAGTCTCAGTCAGTGCTCACACATGTGTCCTCAGATCTCCTGCCCATTGGTGCGAGGACAGCAGGGAAGCAGCAAACGCACGCTGACTAGGCACAATCTGCGGACTGATACGTGTTATCAGGACTCAGCGACCACAGGCACAGGAGGGTTGGCAGTGCTGTGCTGTGCTGGGGCCGAGCTGTGGCCACCTCCGGCTTGCTCGCCCCCTGTGGAGACCTGGTGCCCGCGATTCGTACACGCCCGCGGCGTGGTTGAGTGATCCCACTCACCCGCGCCACCTTTCGCCGAGTCTGCTCATAATTCCCCCACTGCCGTGTCGGTTGGATACGTCCAGCCGGCCTGCATCTGCGAAGCGTGCTCTTCGCGGGATGTTGTCCTTGCGCGTCACTTGTTAAAATGTGCGTGGGCGCACTTGTGTTGCGGATACGCCTCATGCAATTCCGTTTTTGAGACGCGGAGACGGCGCCTCTGGCTCTGATATGGGAAGGGGGTGGGGTGAGACAAGGACTAGGGGTAGATGTGTGTTAGGGCTGATTTCTCCTTAAAGTGCTGTTCAATTTCAGGCATCGGGTTAAGAGTACCGGGACGCGCCGTTCTGGTACAGCTGGATTGTTTTGCAGATTAGTATTCCCGCAACATCTGGAATGGTACCCCGTTGTCAAGCATTTGAGACTAACATCGATTACGGTTCAAGGACGCATTAGAAATGTATTGCCAGCTATCTAAAAACCAGAAGTCAATGCAAAGCTGAATCCAAATTCAATCAAAACCCGTATCTTAAGCGTCTTTGTCAATGCGATCCATTTCTCCAGTTTGGTGGACTGCATATTACAAAATTCACCGGACGTTTCTGACTATGCTTGCCACCTTTTCTTAGCTCTGTGGAGTTCAGAGGTCTGTCAAGGCTACCTGACTGAAAGTGCGCGTAGACTAGTGTTTTTTTCTTAGGCGCAAGATGAGCACACGCTCTACTCAGGCTCTCATACCCAGATAGCATTGCACTTGTTAATACCAAAGCCGTGACAACAAAGTGTGTTGCTCGCATGGATGATGTCAGCGGCGATGCACCGTCCCGTTTTCGTCAGACTTGTTCTAGGGGCCGGTCCGCGCCGTGTCTGCTCCGCACCGCGAGCACGCGCGGTGCCTCTGCAAGCGGGCCGTCCGTCCCGCCGCGCACCGGCTGCAGGCCAATGTTACGTAACGGGCACTCGAGGTTACCTGGGGCCGACGCAGGGCGTTACATAAGCGGACGTCGCGGTGTGCAGGGGTTTAACCTTGCACGGGGGCGCCGCGCTATTTGTCATGCGCGCTGTGGGGACGCCGTGACATCATCGCCCGTCCCGTCTTCTGTCCGGCGCTAGCCTATATGGAGCGCCTCCATAATCATGTCACTCGGAACCCCGTCAGTCATTCCCCGAAAGGTCCGCGAAGGCAGCGGATCGTGTTTACTGGTTCGGCAGGGCCTACTCAAAAAGCGCGCATCATCTTGTCACTTGCGGTCAACCGACAGCAACTGGGTAACTCCGAACGAAAATGTAATAAGCTGCGCTGAATCGATGCTTTTTTGTTGCAGCTTTTTCTTAAATGTATACCATTTCTGGGCTATGTTTGCAGCAGCGGACTGTCAGTTACAACGGGCCTGTTTCAAAGCGAGGTAATTGGACACTTTTATGGAGGACGGTACTCAAAGTATTTCATTTCATACATCGCTATATGCCCAATATAAGATGCATGAAAATGCATACCACTTTCAAATGTTCCGAGATCCCCTCCAAGCGTAGCTCGATGCGGTAGTTTCTGTGACCATGACGTGAGCACAGGCACTTCCTCCTGCACCCGGGCGCCTCAAGACCAGATGTGTGACAGGATTCCACGGGTAGATCCAGGATCCCATAAGATTCAGTGTTAATGGGACCGTGTGGTCGGATCCTGGGAAATTTTTCGGGGTTCCCGGCATGTGTGTGGTTTGGACCACATGCTTCTGCGATTGGCTGGCATGTGCTGACAATATTCATTGATTCAGGTCCTTCAAGACGAGACTGGTACTGAGGAAGGTCGAACAATAAAAAGCACGATGAACCGGGGCGAAAGGAACGACGCGTTTCAAATGTCAGAACCTAGCACAGATGACAATAGTGTAGAGTTGTCATCTCAAGGCCCTGCAGTGAATTACACGGTATGCCACTGTGGTTCTGTGGATCTTTGAATGAACACTTTACGTCATCTGTTTTTCTGGGTTTTTTTGTGCTCGACATTCACGTGACTTTCAACATGCTCTAAGCATGCTTATGTCTTGATGACAACATCATGGCCTCTGGACATCCCGTCTCAACCCTCACCCTGACAGGTTGGGGGTGCATCACCCGCCTTCACAATTTTGTTTTTTTGAGGATACATCTTCGGCACGTTGTGCAATCACGTCCAAAGTTCCAGCAGCATAAGGGCATCTATTGCGCATGTTTTCACACCAAAAACGTGGTCCTAGCTTCACTCGTTTCGGAGCAACAGCGGTTTTTTTTTTGGGGGGGGGGGTAACTCTGCACGGTGATCTACGGCCGGCGCGGGCGGCTGGCGGCAACGGATGATGCCGCGGAACGCACGCGGCAGGCGAGCTTTGTTTCATTTACGGAACTATATATTGATATATCTATGCTCAAAACCCATCAAAATAGACACCATTGTACTCGGAATTGAACAAAGAATACGCCAGCGTATGCTTTTTATCACTAAAGCCATGGTTATGTTTGTGTAATATTGTAAATCTGAAAAGGTGCGGACCTATTTTCACTTTTACCTTAACAGCGTCAGTAACAAGAACACGTATAGCAGACGTGACACCAGTAAAGCAGTTTATGCAGTTTTAACAACCTTAGGCAGGACATTTCGGAAAAACTCAAAAATAAGAAACCAAGCTTTCAAAGGTTTGCCTGATTTCATTGAACGGCAGTTGGATGGGTCATTGACCAAAGAGACAAAAAAAAACAAACAAAAAAAAAAAACAGTAGCCCATCGTAATGGACTGTTATTGTGAGGGTGAGGTATGGAATTAACTTGGTGTTTCACACGCAAACGATGATCAATACCTACCTCGTGATCAATAAAAATTACTCATGAAATGAACGAGAGACCGTGAGCCATTCATTACCCCAGCCTCGCTCACTTGCCAACACGGCCACAGAAACTCTTGTATTACATGTGCAATAGGTGTCGACTCAAACGGAATATGATTGACTGGACGGAGTATGAAAACACCAGAGGTCACTATTGTGCAGGCGTGAAATGTTGAGTTTATTTTATCTATAGATATCACTGGGCTATCGATCTCACAAATATCTGAGGCGTATCGCTTGTTCAAAGGGCGGTCAGCAATCATCAACACTTACAACTTGTTTACTATAGGCCATTTCAAAATCATTGCCCTTAAGGACTTCCAATTTTTGTGAATATTTTTTAATGATGTCCTCCTCATTTGCATGGGTTTTTTGACTGAAATAGACGGCTTAACGATGAATTGGTGCTGTTCATATCCCTGCTCTTTTTAGGATAACAGAATTCTGTAGTTTCTGAGCTACACTCCCGCGAAGATGTGGAGATTATTTCGAACAGACTATTTTACCGTCACCCAGATATGCATGTCGCTATAACGTCATTCAAATCGTTCTCTTCCACTGGCCAAGAGACGTTCACGGTCAATACAAATATAATCGTCCAGTCGTTCATATCCGGCGTTCGTGAACACAATTCCCAGGCATGACAACCTTTAGATGGCTTTCAGTCAGCGATATGCAACCTATGTAAGATTCTAACACGAATTACGTTTAGGACTACATAATGCATTAAGTCATGCATGCTTCCTAGCTAATACGAAAGTAAGACTTGAAATCAGATAGTTTAAAAAAGCGCAATAACTGGATATGTGAATGCGAGAAGGGGCCGAAACACGAACACATCACGATTTTAGTTCAGTACACATCCGTCACCGCCAAGGCTCATCCCTCGGGAGATAGATGAACTACATGTAAGTGCTGCCATGCAAGCGTTCCATGACGCAATAAAAAATGACTGACGGGCAAGTTCACTACATAGAGAAATTTTGTGGCCTGGAGCAGTCTTTTCCTTACATAGGATACTCTAAACTAGGATTGCTTGACCAACGCAAGGGCCGCTGTGTCGTAAACAAGCGGGACTTCGCGTTGCGTGGACGAGTGGTCTTGCACGCGTCCGGTGACCTGACCACGCGCTGTGGCGTGCCCCCAGGGTACCACGGCCGTGACGGTGCGACCCGAGCTGAGACAAGCCACGTACGCCTGGGACCAGATAAACGTGTTCACCAAGGCCAGCAAACGGCGCCTGAACTGGATCAGAAAGGACGGCGGGGACCAGCAACCGAAACACATTCTCAAGGATGGTGAGATGAATGTCGAGTCGGCCATTGATGCTGTTGAGTGATGTTTTCAGGGACAAGTGTCTTGGCCCTGCCAGTTTAGCATCTTGATCAGCTTCATATTCATTTAATTTCGCCGTCTATACGATGATGCTTAGTTTAGCCGCCGTCACTGAGAAAGAAAACTAGGCTTGAAGGCAATAACACGCATCTCTAGCAGCGATGTCATACATCAATGACGGCCGACTACCTGACACGCTGCATCCGTGGCAGCAAACCGTTCGGAAAATTGCAATCAGCAGCCTTCGGTGTAAGGGGCACGACATGGGCGTGAAACGGGCCCTGTTAATAGCATAACGTCTCCTTAATAAGATCTGTTAACCACGGCCCCTCTCCTCAGCCTCCTCCCCTCCACCGCCCGTTGCCAGTGGTGTTCGTGCGATACTCGGCAGCGCGCGACGCATTTTTTCTCATACTTCTCAGTCAAGGGCGTCGTTCATCCGGGAGAGTTCCTGGCTATCATGGGTGCGTCCGGGGCCGGCAAGACAACCCTGCTCAACGTGCTCACCTACCGCAACCTCAAGGGTCTCAAGGTCACCGGAGGCCGCACCATTAACGGCGAGACGACCGACCTGGGCTCTATCAAGAAGATCGGCGCCTACGTTCAGCAGGATGACCTCATGATCGGCACGCTCACAGTCCGCGAACATCTCAAATTCCAGGTCAGTGGCATCGGTGGACATTGGTGAGCTGGATGAGACTGAAGTGCCGCTTGTAGCGGGGCTGCCGCGTCAGTTAACTCACCGATGCAAATTCAAGCGTTCAAACGTCTATCTGTAGTCACGGCAGGTTCTTTGCCATGTTGTATTTGATCGCTTTTTGTGACACCAGCTTCCGGTAAAGTGTCACGACATTGGTGCTACGGCAAAAACTCCTGCTGGTTGCTATAGCAAAAAACTCTTACCGAAAGGAATGCTACGGCATTAGGTTTACGCGACATTACTCTTGTTGCAAAAAAAAATGTCTGCCGACTTTAGCTATAAGCAACAGCACTTGTGTGCTGACAGTAACAGCACTATAAGTGCTACACGATGAAACGCATGCTGCAAAAACATAAACACGTTATTCTTTTTGCGGCAGAGACTTAAGTTTGTAAACATGCAGTTTTTGCTTCCACACGATGTTACTTCTGCTGAAAAAGTAAGAGTTACATGAGTACTACACAACAAAACTTATGCCTTAAAAAGTGTCGCCCGTCATGAGGTCTGCAGAAAAACGTATGTAAAAACGTGATGGGTCTTTACTTGCATGCAATATTATTTTGTAATAGTTCTATGCAAAATTACTTCCACTGTTAATACTCACACACGACACAGGCCATGCTTCACAAATATTGCTCGTTAGTGCTTCCACTTATAGGTAAAGCCTTGTCGAAAGCCCGGAGAGTGAACACATGGGTACACTTGGACGGACAAATCAAACTAGGGGAGCTCACTCCATGGTGTCAAAACATCAGTGCTGTTGTAGATATTATTTATTTGCTTTTAATTGATTCGAACATTTTTATTTGATTCCAGGTGCTTACACTAGACACGTTGTTGGAATATTAAGGTGCAGAAAAATGTTCTCATGACGGCCAATGGCTCCATTAATAACTCGGGAAACGCCTGCAGTCATTCGGGCGACACGACACTCTCAGCTGCTGAGGCAATGTGGCGTCGCTTACCTATCACCCTGGCAGGAAGGGCGGGCACTGCGGGGAATCAAACCCCGTGTGTCAGGTTTCCCCCGACGCACAGACAAACCCCTGCACGAACGACACCCTCAGTGCACACTTTGTTGGAGTGAAAGCTTCACACAAGTGACTGCGGGAAGCAGATGTGGAGCGCTGGCAGCCGGCGACAGGCAGGCATCTGCAACGCGGGATCGCCGCCCGCTCGCGTGCGCACGAATGTGTAAGTTTGATCACGACCCGCATCTCTCCAATTCGTCTAAAGGATCCTCACCAGTGCTAACAAACCCTGTGTATCCCATGGCTTCGTGTTGACCAGCCCGGCCGCCTGCCCGATGCCGTACAGGCGATTTTCACCCGCTAGCCGGCGGGCCAGCCACCTCTTTTGCCGGCGCGCCCTGCACGACGCTCGTCGCTAGAGGGGTCCGACTCGCGGCGGACTCTTGGTTGCAGACAGGCACAACGTTTATCTTGCAAGGTTGTTTAGAATCGTATGTGGTTTGCACCTCGAGTGCCGGCAAGTGAGGTCTAATTCTTATTAAAGAACCTTATTATTGTTTTAATATAAAATAACCTTAAATTAAATAAAGCTGAAAAAGGTAATGTAGCTCAGAAAGAACGCCAGACAACGTTTACAGGCTCCGAGTTCATAGACCACGAAGGAGAGATTTAGCGGTCACATCAAGAGGCTGTCGAGTTTGATGTCCACCAGAGGCGGCATGGCACAGTGGTGATTTTTGGCATTCCTCCGGCGTTAGCCCCGACCAGCAGAGTTTTCACAGTCGGGCTTCGCTACCCTGCCCTGGTCAGAGATCGGCCAAGCCGGAGCTACCATCGTTCTCAATAAAAAATATTACGACTTTGACTCCGAGTTGCCTTTTGGTATATATATATATATATATATATATATATATATATATATATATATATGTATATATATAGCAACTGAAGCAGTTACCGGGCCTACTACTGAATCATATTTGGTTCCTTATTATCTTCTGTCATGAATCACTCTGGATTAGTGAGAAAAAAACTCGTCATAGAGTGCTTTGGAAAGCTACCCTACAATGCGTCTACGATTAGTACGATTTTAAGGGCGGTGGCTTTGCTGTCGGGCGGCCATGTGACAATGTCGCACTGTGCAGGTTTGATATACCTACGACAGTTAGTGATATCGCGCTATGTAAGTTCGATTTACTTACGACAGAGTCAGCGATGCGCACATCTTAATCCTGACGAGTAAACCGCAGGACCGAGCCTCACATCCCGCACGTGGCGCTTTGTGGACAATCTTGGGTAGGGTTTCTTCAGCTTCGTCGTGGCAGGTCCTGACGCTGCCCTGTAAACATGGGCTCCATGCCTGCCGCCATCTCTTCGTCGAGGATTTCTGATCTGCACATGCTGTTGATAAGCGCATTCGGAGGGGGGGGGGGGGGGGGGGCGCATTCATTGGAATGTGATACACATGTGTCCGTCCCGGTAGCTCAGTTGGTTAGAGCGCCTGCCTTCCGATCCACCCACCCGTGGCGGGGTGGGTTCGAGTCGCTTTAGGGCGCTCGCTATTTGCCCTTGACAGGTATGGCCTGCGGCCGGTGGCAGCGGTCGCGCTAAAGGATCAGTTGACGTCAGAGGGCAGGACGGACCGTGCCGAGCGTTGCGGCACGTTAAGCTTTCGCCACAAAATTCTGCCGTTGACATGGAATTGCGCGATCGGATGGTAGGGGTCAGGGCTCACACAACAAGCACTGCTTAGCGTGAGCTCTGATCCCTGAAATCCATCCATTCAAAGGGTTCGGATCAAATCTTTAAAAAAGTGAATAAATTTGACGCGTACAGAATCAAGGTTCACGCGAGTCGATGAGTAGATCTAAAACATGCGATGTCGCTATACGTTACGCGGGAAGGTTGTGAGCGCCTTGCGCCGCCATAAAAGGCTTTTTCACTGACAAATTTAAATTTGTGGCCCCCACTATCAAACCTTGCCCACACCCCGATGTCACTGAAAGTTTTTTCAGATAAAAGTTCGGTGATGTCATCCTGACACGTCTTCTGCCTGTCTCGCTTTGTCATGGCAGCAGGCTGCACCGCCTCTTTGGAGATTTTCTTTGCTGGGCCTGAAGTCCGTGAGCTAGAAGCTGGTCCCGCAACGGCGTATTTTTATAAGGTGTTGTACAGCATTTGATCCAACGCAATACAAGCGAGGTGCAAAATCACCGCGGTAGTCTTATTATCCCTAAATCTGAATAGCATCTGCAGCAGGACGAGCAAAACATCAGCGAACCAGATCGCACTATTTCACGTTTGACTTGGACTGGAAAGTTGCATGCGACGCCGCGTCTCGCGTGCTGTCGCGGTGGCTGCTACTCCCGCTTCATGCTGGCGGCCTCGTCCACCGCTGACTAATCTGTCATTTCTTGTGGGCGATTGCGACATACTTGACGAGTTTGAATGTGGAGTGCGTGAGCGGATTTGAGGGTCTCTTGCTCGTGGAGTGTCATCTGACGCCTGCCGCAAACTGTATCTATGCCGACTCGCGACCAGGCTTGGGAACGACACCGGCTTCCACTTAGGCTTCGCGAAGCCACAATTTACCTCTAATGGCTTCTGGTTCAGCTCCGGCACTGATCCACTTTCTACGGATGGCTTCGTCTTCTGTTTTGGCTTCCGATGCGTGCCACTAAGCAGTTGGGTTAAGGCGTTCGTCGGCGTCTAACAAATTTTTAGTTATGACTCATGCTTTGGCTGTATTCAATTTTAAAGTCCTTTGGAGCTTTGGCTTGGTGAAGTGGTTTCATGCACTGCGTTTTCGAGTTTTCTTTTTCTCTGAAAAGTCTGGTGTGTTCCATCAGCCCATTACGTCACGCAAATTATCGAGGCTTCAACGCGCACATGGGTGAAAGTCAAAAACAGCCGAACATTCTCAGGATCAACATCTGATGATGGCTGGAAAACATAAGTCTTCGACGTTGTTTACATTCTGATAAACAAGGCAACTTTTTGAAGTTCAAAAATAAAGACATAAAAAGATCAAAGCAGCTGACTTCACCTCCACCTCCGTGTGGACAAGGATCGAAGCGACGGGTTTCGAATTCCGCCTCACTTTTCAAAAACACAAAACCACAAGCACCGGCCTCGGGTTCATGTCCTTATCTTGACGTTGAAATCGGCCTATCATGCACAGATGCCTGGATTCGTCCCGGTGCCTGGTCGTAGCAGGTATATGGGCAGACACCCTTGCCAGTTACTTTGTAAGTATCGATAGTCACCGCGCATGCTCTATTCTGTCCTTCGGTTCATCGAGATCTGGACGTTATTATTCTCATCTCTGTCATAAACTGGCTTGCTGCCACTGCTGTAAACCAAAACGAGGATGACATCTTAGCATGTTTAAGCATTCATTTTACAACTTTTGTTTTCAAATAGCACTCGAAAACTCGTGCCTTTTCTAGTCACACCGTTGAAAGCCCTGTATATTTGCATCCTGCTTTACAGTCCCACTGGCATAAAAGGGGGCTGTAAAGGGGCATATATTTGCATCCTGCTGTACAGTCCCACTGGCATTCCTAAATTCAGCACTCCTATTTTCATTTGATGAATTCCATGTGATGATTGCCTTCCTAATTCAGGTGTCATGGGCACAAAATACATGTGTTTGAATTTTATTTGGCGTTTTTTAATCCTAAAATCATGTCTGCCTAAAACGGCTGCTGGCTACAACGCACCTGAAACATCACAGAGTGTTGTCATTCATTTGACCGTAATTAACCCACCGCCAGCCAGAATTTATATCGTTCGACACAGAACTTAATGAGGAATCTAAATTCCACACCATATTAGATACAAGACCGTTTTGGGGAGCATAAACCGAACTCAAAGTTAAAATGTCGCTTCCAAAAACTAGATCGCCTCCCTTCATGCCACGCGTTTCGATTCCTGTTCGCAAACAGCTGTGCCTACGCAGTCAAAGTGCTGAGTTCAGAACACCGTCTGTATCATTTCAATAGCAAACTGCTCAAAGCGACTGACGTTTACTTAAGCGTATCTCGGTTTGACCCAAGTTTTGCACCTGAAAGTAGGAATATCTGCATGCTTAAAAATATTTTCCGGTGGCATTAATCCTGTAGTGATACAATGACAGTTCGGGCATTTTATTCGGAAGAGAAATCATTTTTCAACCGATTGATGCCCATCGCTTTGCTCTAAAACCCGTGTCCTAACAATATTCGTTCCGCTGCAACGGCCCGTTCGCGCAAAACGAACGTATGCCGACAGGCAGGGTTTGGTTACTTGCCGGCACGAGACACGCTGCTGCAGGTGAGCTGGCGCGCGCCGAGATCAAACGCGGCGGGGCGGACGCGCCTCCGGGGTCAGGCGGGATGCGGCGGACGCGCTTCCGGGGTCATACGAGGCGCGGCGGGCGCGCGTCGGAATCGGACGACAAGCGGCAGGCCCCCGCCCCCCCCCCCCCCCCCCCCCCCACCCAGCATCAGGGAAGCTGAGCTGGCCACCGCTGGGATCAGCGGTCACTCGCTGCAGTTGCCGCCGGTCCGTCAGCCGGACTCCAGAATGCTTTATCATTGAACCGAAAGCTTTGTTGGTAATCTGCAAATGAAAGACATGCCTGCTTCAGAAAAGTAGGGGTTTGTTCGTATACACCTAAAGTTACAAAATCGTAACGCTCGCACATATCACCTTTATCATAGGCTAGCAGAGGTCATGGCAGGGGTTATTTGGAAAACTTATTTCAGTTCGGTCATCTTTGCATTTTGGCTCCGTCCACGTTGGTTCGCTGGAGCCAGGCATGAATCAACATCACTGATAACCTATATCAATAATGGTTTAGTTAGACTAGGTTATTTTGCATGTGGACGTCAGGCTAAAGTGCTAATACACTTTTTTGCCATTTCGTAGTCGAAAGAAAGAAGTTTAATTTCTCTACCGGTTTCCCAATCCATCGTCAAGACAAGGGCTGAGGTGGTATGACGTCGTGATACTGGATTTGATGAGATATTCGGGAACAGCATGTTTTCCAATTAGTTTGGGCGTTAGAGCTGTCGACTCGCGAGAAGACCCGGGATCGAATCATCAGTGTCACCGATAAAATTCGGGTTGTGGCGTGGATGCACATGCTGAAGGCCAAACACCAGCCAGTCCTTGGAAATCAGCAGCATCTGACGGCGGCCAGAGAACTGACTGGCTGATACGTTGTGGATGCTAATGCACCAGAAGACGACAAAAGCCTTAACACTCATTCCATCCGCTATATGAACCCTTGGGGTCTATTCGCAGCGCATCAAGAAAGTTTTATTTTGCGTGACGCCGCGCGGAATCTTTGCCAGACGTGTCCGTAGACCGAGTCGCTTTCTGTTTACAGCTTCGTAATTGTTGTGGTAATAACTGCGCATACAATAACACAATATTTTGTGTAATATTTTATATTTTTGTTTGTTGTCGCTGCGAAAGATACTTCAGGTATTTCTAAAAATGGAAACCGCAAATAATGTTTTTTGACATGTGAAACACCTTTTTAAATATCGTGGCTCTTCCTGGGCTGGCAAATTCACCTCTTTTTATTGATTTTTTTCGTCATTTCTCTCTCACTCTGGTCAAGTCGAAGATTTGAAAATTCAGCGCGCCCGACAAAGATTCTTCGTGACATCATGTCTATTTTTTGCCGGCCGGGTCGCTGCGAACACCAAGCTGAGCAGAATCGTGGGGTATGACCTCATGTGTGACGTCGACGGCATGAATTCTTCTATTTGCAGGTCGCTGCGGATGCACCCTTCGTCTCAATCATTCCGTAAAACTGTGGTTACTCCACGGTCTTTTTCCATATCCCGCATTACCACTGGCTAAAAATGTCGAGGGGCGAAACATTGTGCTAAAAAGCGCAGCTAGCATACATAATTTACTTAGAAAAAGCATGAACTCAGGTCTAACTCAACCTCACTCCGCCCATCTAAGTAGGCTACTCACGTTTTTGTAATTTGTTTCCAAACTAAAAATTGATTGTAGATCATTAGCTTTCCCGTGAGACCTCACTTGTCAAAATCCGCCGAGATCGGATTCCCTGAGCGATGTTTATGACCTGTTATGTGGCGATGTTGGCAAAAGGTGACCCCTGCGTGACCTTTCAGGCGCTGCTAAGGATGGAGACGAGGACCTCGTACAAGATGCGCATGCGTCGCGTGGAGGATGTCATCAAGGAGCTGGGCCTGACTAAGTGCGCCGACACCGTGATCGGCTCCCCGTCTCTCGGGCAGAAGGGCATCTCCGGCGGCGAGATGAAGCGACTCTCCTTCGCCTGCGAGGTCAGTGATACCTACTAAAAAGCGGACGTAGTGAGGTGGGAGCAACGTGGGGCGGAGCGTTGCGTACGCGGGCAGGTATCGGGTGGGGGGGGGGGGGGGGCGCCGGTAGTGTAGTGGTTAACGCGTCTGCATGTGTAGAAAGAGATGGATGGTATTGGGCACTGGCAATTCAATTGCAGGTGACCAGGAGGGGTGGATAAAATCGAGAACTACGGGTTAACCTAATAATGTTCGGTCACGTGAACGCATGTACTTCCGGTACCCCCAAATAAGATGGATGTAAGGTGGGGTCAGTTCGACCCCATGGTCTTTTCCGGTTTTCCGGAATATCTTTCGGACCACGTGGGATCGCGACATGAAGCTTGGCATCAGGAAGTTTTGCACCCAACTGAAGATGATTGAATAGCTGGTCTGTGCTGTGAAAATATGAAAAGCTGACGAGAGAGAGAGAGAGAGAGAGAGAGAGAGAGAGAGAGAGAGAGGGAGAGAGAGAGAGAGAGAGAGAGAGAGAGAGAGAGGGAGAGGGAGAGGGAGAGGGAGAGGGAGAGGGAGAGGGAGAGGGAGAGGGAGAGAGGGAGAGGGAGGAGAGGGAGAGGGAGAGGGAGAGGGGAGAGGGAGAGGGAGAGGGAGAGGGAGAGAGGGAGAGGGAGCGAATGAGCAGCCAGGTGCACTCATGAATGGTTGTTACGTGAGGGCATGACTGTGACGAGCTCATACCTACACGATGCTTATGCAATCATGAACTTCCTCATGCAATGTTCTAGGAAATCCAGGACGTCGCAGCAATGGAATTAAGTAGATTATTTTTGCAACTGGTGCAAGGACGTTCGTAGATATCGGTCACATCTGAGGAAGTATATCACGTGGTCAGCATGTCAAGGTAGTGATCATAAGTGATCATAAGCTCTGAAAGCTAGCAAGTGTATTTCGGCACCGGTGTTCACTGCTCTTGACGAAAATCAGTGATGTAGTTTTCCGGGTGCTCTGCAGTCATGTCACTGGCTCTGTTGCACACTGCGCTGGGCAACGTCGCCGGCTCTGTTTCCTGCTGTCCTGCAGTGATGTCATCGCTTCTGTCTCGTAATGCCCTGCAGGGATCTCACTAGTCCTGTCTTCCACTACCCTGCAGTGACGTCACTGGCTCTGTCTTTCACTGCCCTGCAGTGTCGCTGTCTCTGGCGCCCACCATCGCCACTCCGCTGTTCACTCGGACGAACTGGTCTTGCTGGAAATCGCGGCTTTGTGCCACTGACTACCAGCAGCCAGCGTTCCGTCACTCTGATGCGGATCGTCTCTCCGGCAACGCAGTCATGTGCCAGCTCCCTCTATTTGGCTGCTGAGGCTGCGGCGCTCTGACCAAACCGCGCTCTTCAGGTCATCACCGACCCTCCTCTGCTCTTCTGTGATGAGCCCACCTCGGGTCTCGACTCGTTCATGGCCCAAAATGTGGTGGCCGTGCTGAAGGCCCTGGCCGAGCGCGGGAAGACCGTCATCTGCACCATCCACCAGCCCAGCTCGGAGGTGAGGCCTCGCCGCACAAGTTCGGCTGCTGATCAGACCAACTGCGACTCTGTGGGCAGTTGGTCTGAAAATCACAGTTGGCCCTCCAACGTCTGCGCTGTGAGGGCCAGCGGGCTGTTTCCTGCTTTTGCGAGCAGCGTCACTGTTTACGTCCTGCTGTCAGACAGCTAAACGGCGATACCCTGTGCACGGCATGCCGGCTTTGGCCGTGCGGCATAAATGAGCTTCAGTTGCAAAACAGGTCGTGCTCTGCCTACCTACGCTGCCATACCGATCTCAGCAGCAGAGGCTGTTGGTATCGTAACGCAGGAGTGGCCGCGTGCTAGCTTACGAGAGTCGCCTCCGTTTTCACTACCATCCTGGCATTCAAGTGGGTAGCGGCAATTCGCTTACCTTGCATCTTGTGCTGATTCCTTTGAAAGGGTTTGCCTTAGGTCGATGACACCGTCTGACCTTTCCTAAATTCTTTTGAACTTGTCGCGCCGCAACTTCGGGTACGTGGCATGTGCAGGAGCATTTCCAGATGTTTGTAATGAAAATGCTACGCTAAGCAATAACGTGCCAAAAAGGTCCATGATCCAGTCATATACGTAAGTATTTGAAAGCAATAGGTAACAAGAAACCTAATGAATTTAACACAGAATACTGCCAAATTTACCGAGGACACACTGTTTTTCTGGTAGAAGCTACATAACCCGTAAATGACACTGAACTAGGTGGGTCCTGTCCGTGGCTAAGAACGCTTGAAAAGTGTGGCAGATTGTGCGGGATCCGAGGAGTGCTTGCTGATCAGCACAATACTGAGCCGTAACGAAACTATTAAGGAAAAAAGGTTGAAAAATGTCAGGAATGGAAGGCCATTAGATAGCACCAATGCTTTTTACACATTGCCAGGGTTGGATCTGCATCCGACTGGCCCGGGCGCATGGTCTGCCTCGCGATCTTTCGGTATTCAACTAAAATGAATTGATGCATCACTCGGGCGAATAGGACTCGGCTCACAAACTTGATTAACGTTGGGTGGTGGTGTCGGACTAAAGAAATCCGGAAAAGTGGAACCTTAACTAGACTTAACTTCTTATTCAAGTTCCAACCATGATGAAGGCCCGTGTACAAGCCTTATAACACCAAAACCCATGGCGTGGATGAGACTGATTTTAATAGCATGTGCTCGCAAGTGGGTATTCTGGTACCTGTCGAGTTGCGTTGGATTATAAGGATGAGGTTCGTGCCGGATGGAATAAACTATAAGACTAAACGTGCTGTCTGTCATTCGTATCCAACGAACTACCAGCAATCTGTCAACACTCCCGAAGGGGAGGGTTTAGTTTGTGTGAGACATTCTTGCACAGAGTACCGGTTGCAACTGAACGGAAAGCTTCGCGAGGGTATGCTTTCGCCATGCCATGCAGCCGTGGGATTGACTCTGTGCTTTGCATGAGTAAAAATAGCCTCCGCTTGAGGGTGTGCCTCTTCCATCACTTAATCGCGCTCAACCCTCTGCAGCGGAGCGTGTTACTCCGTACTTGCAGGTGATTCAGGTGATTATTCGGGCCAATTCAGGCTCTCCTTTGGGAGCGTGGATGTAGGTGGTCGCCGCTGTATTTGTAGTCCACCGTGTTGTAGGCAAGCGTGGTTCCGCGCTATCGATATCGGTGTCCTCGTTTGTAATTTATGGTTTTCTTGTTTAATCTGGTATCTGCTGCGTACGCTGACAAAGGCACGGCGTCAGCTTTATCTAAAGCAGCTGGCATCAGGTGACATCCATATGCTAACGTGTTTGGTTTATTGGCAGCGGCCAAAGTCGTTCGGCTTTTGGCAAAACAGAGGGTGGCCGAGGCCCTCAAGAGCCAGATAGTTTACACCAAATCACACATACTGTCTATTCATCAAACGGTCTAGGGCCGCTCGCTGACTGCGGCATGGCCACGTATGCTGGATCAGCAGGTTCATGGCTTGTGGTGGGAACGTTAATCAATTTCTGCCCTTCATCGTCTAGTGTCTTGGGAACAACATCACTGTTTACGTAGGTCAGTCACGAGGGCGTTTTGACCTCTGACCAGCGCTCAACTGGGAACGGGAGGGACTGGCGTGCCTAAGAAGGGTAATTTGTCCTGCCTCCGCAGTGAGCACGCTCTCAACATGTTCACGTAGGCCATGGTCCTTGTTGTTTAGAGTCGGGCAAAGTGTTGGCACGATATCTGTGCTATGGAACCATTCAGTACGTTGTCTGTTTAAGCGCAATGCGTGCAGTTCAACCCGGCATTCGCCGGGCTCCTCAGCGGCACACCGTTGACAGGCGGGGGGGGGGAGGGGATTTGACCCCCCTCTTCTCTCTAGAACGACTGGTCGAAACTCAAAATTTTAGACCGCAATCGATAGTGCCGTGGCTTGCGGTCTCACATCACGCAACAAACTTAAGTTGATGCATGTATTCAGGTCACAGGTCAAGGTCAAATTAGGAAATTGTTACTTCGGAGTTTATCACCGCTCCAACAACGCGTGTCTCGCGGAAACGTAACTCACGGTGCGACATCACTGCTCTCTGATCAAACATTTTACATAGGGGGTGTTCGATGCGGTGCGAGCCGTATCAGGCCTAGAGCCAAGGTCACGCGCCGTGGAAATGAGAGCTGAAACCTTGGTTTGTCTGCATATTTTGGTCTATTTATTTTCGTGATATTTGAACCATCTAAACGTGAAGTGGAAGAGCTTAGCCGCAACCATGGGTATCGGACACGTGAGCAAGAGCGGTTACTTGTTCATAAGCCGTCTAATGCCAACCTGAAATGGATGACTTCAGTGGCAAATAAGCGGTTTGATCGATTTTCTCCTTGTTTTCGAGGGTCCAGTCCTGCCGTCATTGCGGCCCGATACCCTTCAACCCCGTCGCCAGTCACGTGGTCATTGGTTTGTGTGTGAAACTGATAAACGGCTTCAGCTGCCCCGCCGCCGCGCCGCTGCGGCAGACCTGAAGCCCCGCCGCCCGCCGCCGCAGGCTGGTCACGTGGGCAAGGGCAGCATGCCCTGTGGTGCATTTCAAGCCATAACTCAGTCATTTTTACAGATAGTTGCTTGCAATTTAATGCAGGCATCCTTCAAAGCCGTATCTATAACACCCTTCCGAGTGTTCAAAATTTCGAGTATGAGACCAGAAAATGTTGAGTGCACATTTTATCACTACTTTTGTTATTTGACATGCCAGTATTTCAACGTGCAAAACTGTAGCAACACAGCGACTATGCAAATGAATGATGGACTAGTTGGCTTACATTTTTCGTTCATAGATGTAAAATATGGTTTTTCGTTCGGCTTGTCGAGTTGTCTTCAGCCACGCGCTTCTGTCAAAACATTGGCAAACATGACGTCACTCTGACGTCATTTACGCCTGATCTATTATGGTATTATAGTCATTTTAGCACAGGGCGTTGAACTCATCAATCGACAGGTACTGAAACTTTTGCGGCGATATCTCGAAGCGCTTTTTAATTATCGCTAATGTTGGGAAGTGGGCAGATTTTGCCGGGCTAGTCATGAGTTTTAATGACTTCGACACGTTTTCTGGCGTTCCGGATGGTAAACTACAATTGTGCTCACTCTTTGCAGGTATACGCCATGTTCGACAGGGTTCTGCTGATGGCCGAAGGCGCGTAGCCTACATGGGCGACGTGGACGGCGCCTACGACTTCTTTAGAGAGTAAGTGATCTTTTTCAACGCAAAATGAATGATACTTTTGTGCCATAAATGGATATTGGCTATGTGGCAAGTAGCGCGTAGGACTTGAGGTTCGTGAGCAGTTATATCTTCCGTTGATAGGGCAAAAATATGACTGTTTCTAGAAGGGACCGTTGGTTAATGGTCTTGACTACTTGGCGGACCGTGTGTGTTATTTGCCTCGTTTCCTTAGCGGGGCGCTGCGGTTTTTTGCCCCGTTTTCTGACGGGCCCTTGCGATTGTTTGTCTCGTTTCCTTTTTCGGGCCCGTGATTATTGACACGTTTTTTGAGAGCGGCCTCCTGTGGTTATGCTTTGACTGGCGGTGATGACGTCACGAGATCGGTCTCTCCCTGGTGGGGCGGACGTCTGCTGTAGTGTTCCGGGTTGTTGAGCTGTCGGCTATGCAAAGTCGTTCCGCCGAAAGCGTGCAGGAGTGGAGTTTGAGATGCAGGAGAGCTTGATTGCATTATTTATACACCATGAGTGCTTTGTAGCTGATGGAATGAAAAGAAATGCACAACAGACGGTGAGATTCGGAAGCCACATCATTTTTGCAGCGATCTTTGTGCAGCAATAATCTGCTGCAGAACCGGTCCAGCCATCTAATGCAACGAATGTTCTCGCTCCATCTCGACAACCGCAACCAACCCGTATCTCACGTCATGGGATCCTTGTCTGGCCTTTTGTAGGGTGGCTACGCTTGTCCCGCGAACTTCAACCCTGCCGATTTCTTCATCAGACTCTGGCCATTGTGCCGGGTATGGAAGAGCAGTGTCGCGGCCGCCGAGTCGGCAAGATCGCAAACTGCTTCCAGGTGGGTGTCGCCGGCTGGTGAACCCTGCACTTGGCAATGTGAGGGTCGCTTAGCATTGAAAGCAGTTTTTTACGTATTAAGGTTGAAGTTGCAACGCTGACACGAATCGTCCTCA